CAACAGTGTGTCATATACGTATGTGCACAAACACACACATCTGTAGTATTACTTATATTTCTTGCTTATTTAGGATCTTTGTCACTTGTTCATAGTATCTTACGATGTACAATAAACGTTTTTTAAATTGTGAAGTTTTAAGTTGTGAAAATAACATGAATGTGGTGATAAGAATCCAAACAATCCTATAAGGGTAGAACCCCAGATCCTGTTCCAGTGGACTGTTCAAAGGTAACCTTATCAAGGGCGTGTGTTCATTCTTCAAGAAGATGTTCATGCTCACGCAGTTGTCTCTATACAAATATACAGTGGACACATTGTGCTGCATCTTGTTCCTATCAGTATATAGGCATGGACGGCACTCTTGTTTACAGCTTTCGACCATTGCACAGCATGGGTAGACTCTAGTTTAGTTAACCGTTTCCCTCTTAATAGAAATATAGAGATTTCAGTTGCTTTGTTTTTGTTTTTAATAAGTACCAGCAGCAGAGAGCTTCCTTGGGCGTGCCTGTGAGTTGGCTCTAACTATCAAAATGTAAACTGTACGTATCCCGTGACCTAACAGTTCTACTCCAAAGCAGTAGAATTTCTTGCCTTAAAAAGTAACTACCTTCAAACCAACTTACCTTCAAAAGGGTTGTACTAATTTGGGCTTGTATCAGCAGTGAAGGAGAAGGCATTGGAATTCCCAGCACTGGCCTGGCCGGGTCACGTCTTAGCTAATATCTTTGGGGAAAGAGGGTCTTTCTTTAGACTGTTGCAGAGGGGAACAAATCAGCACCAAGCGTCCAGCTCTGTAATGCATGAGTTTCTTCAACATGTCTGTTTATTGGACTGCTGTTTGATATGTTATAGATAACCCTTTAAAAAAAGCTATATAGCAGGTTTTACTTTATGATTAAATATCTTTTTCCTTTCTTTCTTTGTTTTTCAAATTGTAGGTGTTTGGCCCGTGACTGAGAGAGAAGATGACTTGACAGTTTCTGCCATGGTTTCTCCTAACTTCGATTCCGTGTCTGTAGGTATATTTGTAGATTTTGAAAGGGTTTGTGATAGCGGTGGACTCTAAGGCATTGGGCTCAGAATGTATTGGTTTAAATGATGGGCCTTTAAACGGAAGCTTTAGGATTGTAAGGATAGCAACTTACAATCTTTGTTACTTTCTAGAAATAAACGTTTCTAGGCTCTTGGTGTCATGAGGAGTTCCTTAGGCAGATATCTGTCTAAAAAAGGGGGAGGGGGACAGTAGAAGGGGTTCTCACCATTATTCTGGATCTACCTTTTTTAAAAGTTTAACTTTTTTAGTAGCAGAGTGCTTAGGTGATTCTAGTCCAGATAAATAATACTGACGCCACGAGATGTCTGTTGAAGGTTCAATGAGCTAACGTTTGTGAAAGGCCTAGCTCAGGGTTTGAAAATTTACAGTCTTCGATACATTGTGGTGATTGTGATGGTGGTGGTGGGGTTGCAGTTTAAGAGTAAACATTTGGGCTGGGAATTATCCACCCCCCCCATTTCTGTCTGTGCTACCCAGGGCAATGTTCTTAATTTTCTTAGACTCAATTTTCCCTCTGCAACATAAGAAAAATAACAGAATCTCTCGTGTTGAATTGTTATGATAATTAACCAGTATCATCAGGATCATCAGATTACATTTTAGTTCTATCATTATCACCACCACCACCGCCACTACCGCCCTCCTCTACGTTTCACTGCCTGTGTCTTTCACTGCCATGTCATGGTGCCTGTCACAGATGGGCTCTCAGTATATACCTGCTCTAAGAATGAATGAATGAATCTGAGAAACAAGAAGGCTGCAAGGGGGACTGTCCTTGGCCATATTGCCCCGTGTCCTTGGTTAGTCTTCTGGAAGCACTTGTTAGATTATATTTGGTTATGTCTCGCTCCCTAATGTTCGGGCAAAATCTATAAGTTTATCTGTGTCCATACCAAAAGCTGATCAAGTTAGACAAGTGATCGAACTCACTGGTTTACGGTATTTAGAGTTCACATCATATAATTTTGCCTCGGAAGTGACTTTAATGTCTAGGTATCAGAGCAGAATATACTAAGTAGTTGTCATAAGCTATCCAAGATTAATTTTAGTATAAACAGCTAGCCAACCCAAGTTGTGATAAAAGTCACGTTAACATTGCCATAGTATAGTAAGTTGGGTACACTTAAAAAAATAAGACTCGATATGAAAGAAACATTCACCCGACTGGGTCACATAGTAGAGGCACTGTTTTAAACACTGGCCATTCAGCACACACCATTGCTCACTCTACCTGAAGGGTGTAGTCTGAGTGGAACATTCCTGCCTAGTTAGCTGACAAATGTACACACATTTTCTTGCCTTGGGAATGATTCTTTTTTCCTTTGGGTAACTTATATAAGTTTTTTTTTGGTTCTCTTAAACATAGGCTATTTGGAATGAGGAATTCCCTTTCTGTTCTTTAGCGACTTTTGATCTCGGAAGGAAAAGGCCTTCTGTAAGAGCACTCTATCGTAACATATATTTCCCTGTTGGCAGCCTGGAGTGCTGTTTCCTTTTAACTAGGTGTCTTTTTCCAGCTTCATTTTCCCTGTCTCCCTCTTTTTTTACTTCTTAAGAGATTCTCGAGAGTATGGTATTCATTCCATTGGAAAACATTAGCCCAATGATTTGTATGGCTCTGGTGCTATGGTATCTTTATATAGCCATTTCTCTCTGACTATAATTTCATTTCCCACAGGGTTATTTCCTGAGGTACCCAGGTGTTTAGACAATGGGTTGGAAAGAGCACGAAACAGGAGATGTTTGTTTCCTTTCTAGATCTTTGGACACCTAAATGTAAAACATTTCCTGGATTTTAAGTAATACTAGAGCAAAAAGTCTGGCTTACTATTTTATTTTGAATCATTGATATGAAAGCACACATCTAAAAACATAACATAATTTATATTAGAATGGGGTCTTTTAGAGAGGAGACAAGCCTTGCTATCCTGTCTTCTTGATGGAGATGTTGGATTTGAGTGTATATATGGTTTCCTGTGGAGTCATAAATATAATGTGAATCTCCCGGTTCTTGATTATGCTGCTGCCCATTACAGCATTCTCTATTGCTCAGACGTGGCTTAGTTTTTCTTAGTAAAAACATTTCAGATAGGTTAAGTTAAAGTGCAGGGGATCTATTCATTGGTTGGACAGGGATTTAGGCCCTTAATTGCTCCCTGGGAGTTCATATGGACATTACCAAAAATATGTTATCCCTTTGTTTTCCTGTCACAGAAGGAGAATATTTTTCTCTCAATCTTCCACTCTAAAAAATAAAATGTATAAAAAAGTTATAAATGATAAGGAAATGTCTGCTCTATTATATTATACTCTGAGTTCTTTGATAGGTAGAGCCAAGTAATGTGAGCTGATGCTCAAAGATGGAACTAGTTTATGATTTGAGCTAGTGAAAAAAAAAAATCATACTCCTACTTTGATTTTCTTTTCTAGGTGTAAGGCCACTCAATCTTTATATTATTAGTTGCATGTCTTAGATACATATTCATGTTATTAATCAGAAGAAAACATACCTTTGGCACATTAAAAATAAAAGGGCCGAAAAGAATGGCATCATTTGTCTTAGAAATACAAGGGGGCCTTGTTCTGTATAATATGAAGGACGAGCTAATAGAGTTAGTTAGTTTCAACATTTAAGTAAACTTGGTAGTAGAGCTTTAATAAAATCTGTGACCTTTTTGGGGGGAAGGTGGATGTTTGGATATTAGCGCATGATTTTCTAGATGAAGACATCCGGAAAGTCACACTGGCTCCGTGAGTCTGTCGTTGGAGGGATAAACCCTTTACAGCTCGTCCCGATGTTGTGGGCAGAATATACATTGCGCCCCTGTGTTCACTCATCGACGTGTGACATTGAAACCATTCTTTCCTTCCTTTCTTCTGTGTGTTTACAGCAAGCTCCTGACGTCGAAGTGGGAACTGACCTTGCCCCTTCAGTCACAGTGAAGGTATTGTGCCGTGGTCCTGGACTGTAATGTGCAAACAGTATTACGCATTTCATCACACTTGTTGCTGTTGTCGCTCTATAAATAGCCAATGGAAATGTCAAACAAACACTTGGAATTTGTACCATTTCCTCAGCCTTGAGTGGTGGTTTGATAACCTTCATTGTTTTCTACAAATATAAAACTGAAAGTTGTATTCATAGCAATATGTATATAATAGAAACAACTGTTATGACTTACTCCTACCATTATTTAAATGTGTTGTTTGATCCAGGGTCTTTTTTATAGAAATGAAATTAACATTTTAAATAAGCTAAAGGAATTATGTCATCACCATAGACCAATGAGTGTCATAATAGACCAACCAGTTGATTGAAGCATCATATATACATACTTGGGAATTATGTGAATGCTAATAATATCCGTCTTCCATGTGTGACTATAAGTGTGTCTGAAAAGAATTCCCAGCCATCTATCTGCCATAATATTAGCTTTAAAGGGGTGTATTTATAGCAGGAAAATATTAAATGAAGAAGCCACAAAGTAGAGTAGTGACAAATTGATAGTCCTAAAAAATAGAACATGAGGGATGTGGTTTGGGTTAAAAATTTTTAGTCTTGTCATTGTTGAATTGTAGACAAGGACTCATATGTAGAGCCTCTTACGGCGTTTAGATTAAAGCGTGGTAATCAGTCAGCACATTATTAAGCTGACAATATTTATCATGCCCGGAGCTGGGAGCCAGGGAGCGTTGTGGATCTTGGCGATTTGCTCAGTCAAAACTTGGACAGGCCTTTCTATTTTCTTAGATTATGGGTTGCTGTCCTTGGAGGAGCTTGACAGGGTACCAGGCTCTAGCAATTGTGTTCGCTTGCACTAGGCCCAGCGGGTGGGCCTGGTGTGGGGATCTGTGGTAGAAGTTGAAGGGAGCCCAATCTTTTAACAGTTTCCTAAGCTAATTTTTTTGGATTCTCGCCACTGGAAACAAGGGTGGTCTTTCCCCAGTCTCCCTCCCCTATTCAATCAAAGGCTCTATCTCATTAATACTTCTGAGTCTGGAAAAGCATTAGTGGCAAGAAATCAAACGCTTAAGAAAAAAAAAATCCCCCAAACCCTGCAGAGTTCCAGGAATGATCTATAGACTTTTGTGTGGGGAAACCCTTTTTATGTCTATCTACTGATACTGTTCAGACACATACACACAATAACTCAGACGCACACTATAAATTGCAGAAAAGGCTTGTACCTAAACCAGATAACACCGCTCATGCTAGTTTCCCGCCAACTGCTGCCTATCGCTATAAGTAAACACACCTCTCCGTCCCATGCAGCTCTTAGGCTTTCTTTCACATGTCATGGCCACCTTCAAACGGTGGAGTGACACTGCTGGAAAAGTCTCCATCAGTGGAACTTGCTATATTTGCAAATGACTAAGTCGTTCTCAGTGCACTTCCTTCTCAGCATTGTGAGAGGGCGAGAAAGAAGGCGCCCCGAGGCTTGCGCATGATCAGCTGGACTCTGACAGGAGACACAATGGTTTTCTGATTCCGTCTGACAGTTTCTATACACATTTCTGCTATTAATCTCCCCTTATAGCCTCTTATAACAACAGCAGCCAAGATATATAACCATGCAGGTTTCCATCATAATAAATCCTGCTAATTGAGCAACTGTTTCCATCCGTTCCAAGTGAGCGAAGCTGTGGCTACCTTGAGTATGTGTGCGTGATGTGAGAGTGGCTCGTTCATACCTGGCCCCTGCAGCCGTCGTCATATACCTAGGATAAAAATTGGGTATTATATTTCCTAAGGATCCTATTCCATTTTGTTAGAAGCGGAAAATAGCATGGAAAATTCTTGTATTAATGTTTTATATTTTCCCCTTAATATTCTATAATTATTTTTCTCTTAAAATATGAGGTTTATGATCTGGCCAAGTCTCCGACTCTTTTTTTTGGCTTAAGCACAGCTCTTCTTTGTTACTGTAGTTATTTTCGTCACACACCTCCTTGATTCACTTTTGAAGGTGCCTTGCCCATTGTTGGGGTTCAGTGAATCTGTGTGAGAGCTATCATTATGGTGCATCTAAATCAAATGCAGACACTTTTGTGACAATGTAAAATTGCGTGACGTTTGTCTAGGTATCCATCGTTAGCCAGGCAGAGTCAGAATGTCTGCTCTCGCAAACGGCTTCTTACTGCTTTCAGGAGTTTTCGTTTTCACTCTTAGACCAAGTTTTCAGTTCTCTTGCAAACATTGGCTTGATGGTCTTGGGCATTTACTTAGCTTCCCTGAAGCTCTGTTTTTAGACTGACTGTAAAATGGGGATACCTTTACATTTGCAGAGTTGTTTTGAGACTTAACCCCAGTAGATTAAGGGCATGGGCTCCAGATTCTGGCAGACAGAAGCTGAATTGTGGTTCCTCCACTAAAAAACAGAATGGCCCTGGGCAAATTAGTCTCTCTGAGCCACAGTTGTCTTTTCTATAAAGTGGTCTATAGTAATAGTAGCTGTTTCACCATGTTGTAAATATTAAGTGAGATAATGCACATAAAGAATTTATTAGCATCATTCTATGGATATAGAAAGCTGCTAATAGTTATCATTAGTAGGATTAATTTAATTTTAAAATGTATGTATAGGCTAGCATTGTCTTATTATTAATAGACAAATATTTAAATTGTTTTCCATATATTCAGTGGACTAATTACTTGAAAGAATGTTGTCTGTGGTGCTTATATAGTTTCTTCTCATAATTGCCGTCAGGTTTACTAAAAAAGTATTATATTTGCAATGGCCAGACATCATTAAGGAAGCTTTCCTTGTGGGAGGCAGATTCCCCTCATGTGTTCCCAGGGCTTATAAAGTAGCAATTGAGGATTCATTGTTCATTTGCTGTGTTTATTGTATTTATTTGCATCAGTGGTTGAAAATTTTACTTTGTAAGTCAAAATTTGTAGGTTTGACTTATTTTTAAGTTTTACAGAATACCCACATTATTCAACGTTAATACAAGACATTTTCTGACTCTAATTACATGTATATGTTTGTGGGCCAGCTGGATATTGCTGTATATGGTTTCTCTATTATATGCATATGTGTGTGTGTGTAATGATACACACCTTTTACCTAAGAGAAAATTCAAAACTGCTTTCCTTAAAAATAAGTATGTCCTTGCATTATGTCAGTTAATAAGGAAATGTATCTTTCTGTTTTACTAGCATCTAGTAACTAGACTGCACTGTTCCATAGCAAAGGTCAGGTAGAGAGTGCTCCTCAACTCTGGTTATATGTAGATGTCACCTGAAGAGCTATAAAAAAGTTACCGGTACCCAGGTCTACTGTGATAAACGTCTGGCTTGCCACATCAGCACTTGAACTCATCCAAACGAGATTATTCAAAGAGGCCGACATTTAGGAGACAAAATCCAAAGAGAGGGCATGCCCAGTGGAAGCCAGGTCCTGGAGCCTTTTCTTTGACAGCATGAGAGTGATGCCCCTTCTCACTGGCCCAGTAAAGGTCACTGGGCCTGATGGCTTCTACTGACGTTCCTCCCCAGGGTCCTGACAGGAGTCCTGGCCATCTCTATCCATCCCCAACCTACTTACAGGCAAACTGTTACCCCAGTGTTCTTAACTATTGATTCTGATTGGAGTGGGGAGGTTTTCTTGGCATCATCAAGCAAGAACACCAGTTTGGAAATCCAGCCAGCTTAGAAATGAGGCAGTGAATATTGCCATTCTTTGATATTTTCTAGAGTTAGTTATGTCAGATATTTTTATTTTAAGCCATAGAAGAAAATGTAGCACTGTGATATATTTCTAAGCTAGTAACTATCCACCCAGTAAGGAAATCTTTAGAGATTAATTAACTTGTGTAAAATGTAATGCACTGATACTGGTTGAGAAAAATAATTCATGATGCCACATCTACATATGAAAAGAGGAATGAACACATATAATATTTCATGATGTAATGTTTATTAGCCATTGAGGAAAGACTTTTTCATTATAGTTGACATAAAATATATTAGTTTCAGGTGTACAGCATAGTGATTAGACATTTATATAATTTACAAAGCGATTACTCTGATAAGGGTAGAACATTTTTAATAGCTTTATTGAGATATAATTCAGACACCATACAATTTACTCAAAGTATATAATTCAATGACTTTTAACAAATATTTGCGGAGTTGTTGAACCATCACCACAATTTAATTTTAGAACATTTTCATCTCCCCTAAAAACAGTCCCATACCAGTTAGCTGTCACTCCTGTTGCCTTCCTCTGTCCCACTCGCACCTCATACCCCCTACTCCAGCCCTCAGCAACTGCAAGTCTATTTCTGTCCTTACAGACTTGCCTATTCTGTACATTTCATATAAATGGAATCATACAACCTGTGTTTCTTTGCGACTAGCGTTTCTTACTTAGCATACTACCTTTAAGGTTTGCCCATGTTGTAGCATGTGTCAGTACTTCATTTCTTTTTATTACCTAGTAGTATTTCATCGCATGGATACACTGTGTTTTGTTTATCCATTCATCAGTTGATGGACATTTGGGTTGTTTCTACTTTTGGCTATTATGAATTATGCTGGTTTGAACATTTGTACACAAGTTTTTGCATGAACATATGTTTTCGTTTCTCTTGGCATGGAATCGGGGGATCATATGGTAAATTTATGTTTAATTTTTGAGGAAACAGTCAAACTTTTTGTGTGTGACTGTACTATTTTACATCCCTGTCAGCAATATATAAGGGTTCTATGTTCTTTCGAACACCTATTTTTATCTGGCCTTTTCATCATAGCATTTTAGTGGCTGTGTAGTGTTATCTCATTGTGGTTTTAATTTGTATGTCATAGTGGTTAAAGATATTGAACATTTTTTCATGTGCTTTTTGGCCTTTCCTATATCTTCTTTGGAGAAAAGTCTGTTCAACTCCTTGGCCCAGTCTCCAACTGGGTGGCACATTTTAATCGACCACTTATGTTACGTTATGTTTTGTGGCTACTCCTTTTTGCTCAGATGATGTTTCCTAATTATTTGCTAGTGATTTTTTAAGTAGTTGTGATAGTTTATGAATTTGGATAGAATGTAATTTTCAATTAATAACAATTTCTATTTCCTTAGGTAACACTGCAGAGCCGAGTGGCATTACAAAAAGCCAAGTTATCAGTCTATGTGCAGCCACCTTTAGTATTGTCACGTGACCAATTCACTTTTGAATTGATGGGTAAGTGTTTTGTTTTGGCTTAAAGTCCATCATGGTGTGAGGGTTTTTGTTTTTTTTAACTTAAAATTTTATTTTATTAGCGTGTTCATTTCATGGGTATATTTCTTGCCTGAATCATGAGACTGGCATCTTCCTGATATGAATGCTTGTGTTGGTTTGCTTATGGTGTTTTCCTCTGTGCATCAGGCGTGGACATTCAATGAATGGCTGTTGAGTCTGCAGTAATTACAGATTTCCAAGTGCTTTCCTAGGCTAGATGGACCTGTAATTGTACTTAAACACTATAATTTGGAAGGTTTTCTTTATTGGTGTTTCTCTAGTGAGCTATTTATTGAGTCAGTAATGTTTGAAGAAAGAATATTGACTTTGGAGTCTGGCCTGAATTTGAATCCTAGCCCTGACTCTATGTGTAACCTTGGGCAAACTACCTTAGTAATTACTTGGTGCCTCAGTTTTTTTTTTAATCTGCAGAAAGGGGCTAATGATGTCTTTCTTGTAGGGCTGATTTGAGGATTTAATTAAAAATGAATCTATGTAAGGTATCTGCAATAATGCCTAAAATAGTAGGTAGGTCGTAAATGGCAACTCTAAATCTTTGAATGGAATCTCTCACCCTGACCACTTACATCTAAGTCAACACTGGTCCTGTTAAAGTGATTTCTGAATCATCTTTCTTTTCTTTCTTTGTTTATGGCCACTGTCCAGCCGGGGAGCCTATGTCTTATTCACAAAATCAGGAACACCTCTCTCTTTTTTGCCTTTGTATAACCAACCCTTACCTGAGTGCCTGGCAGGTAGTGGGAACTTAATAAATACTCACTGAATGAGTGAAGGAATGGTTGAATGACTGAAGTAACCTTGGAGGTGATATCAAACCATTGGTTTCTCACTTTATTTTCTAATTTTTCACAATACTTCCAGTTTATCTTTTTAAGACACATTCTGAACCATTTATTTTCCCAGTTAATAAACCTCTTATGACTCTCTGACGCAGGCTGGAGGTCAAGTACATGAATCAGGAGGCTGTGCACAATCTGCTGTGTCTATGGTTGCAGTTACATCATGTCCAGTCCCCCCCTTCGATTTCCCCTGCAGCCTGTTCTAACCATGAGAAAGCATATTCCGCACTCCCAAATTCTCCTGCCCCTTTGGGTACCCTTTTCCCCGTTCATGCTGCCTAGTCACCTGCGTGACGACGAGCAGTGGTGTAGAGTGTTGGCACCCAGTCCCCAGCTGTGCGTTAGCTATGTGACCTTGGGCAAGCCTCTTAATCTCTCTGTAGCCAGTTTCCTCCTGGGGAAAAAAAAAAGAGTGGTGACAGTAATACCACCTACCTTATAGGATTGTTGTGAGGATTAAAGTGAATTAATCCATGTGAAGTGCTTAGGACAGTAGCTAGCATGCAGTATAGGCCTAATTTTAACTGTTGCTAATAATCATTGTGCTGAATTATTTAACTTATATTGCTCTTGCATTGCTTATAGCACCAGAGATGACTAGAACAGTAGCCTTTTCTGTTTTTCTGAAAGGAAGTTATGCGCCACCGGAACTGGAAGGAAATGCTGTTGTTTCTTACTCCAGACCAACAGGTAAATACACAGTTGTTCAGGAATTTATCAGATTAATCACTCCTTGGCACTTGTCATTATGAGTTAAACGTTTAAGAATTAAGATGGGAAAACACATTGTAAAATATTATTAAATAAAAAGATATTCTTTTCTAGTGTTAAATAAAATTGTATGTCCAAATTAGTTTAATGTTCTGAATAATTAGTGATAAGTCTTGTTAGTAGATTTCTATATATGATGTTTGATTCTGTCTTTTCAATTAATAGCAAATATGATATGTTTTTACTCATTAGAAGAGTGGCATCTAGTCATACTTCATCTATTTGAACAAAAGAGAAAAGTCTGAATACAATAAAAAGACTATCATGGCTTACTCAAATATTAGGCAGCGTTCAGAGTTTTAGATATTGTTTTAGTGACGGATACCCTTTAGGATCTTATATGCTAAAACTTTTAAGAACAGATCTACTAAAATTTGATCTGTATTTAAAAAAACAAACTATTTTTAGGTGAAAAAGGTTATCTTTAATAACACGATGGTTGCCAAGGGCTGGGGGAAGTGTGTAAAATGGGAAGATGTTGGTGAAGGGTGCACACTTCCAGTTCTAGGATAAATAGTTCTGGGGCCTGGTGTATAGTGTGGTGACTATAATTAACAATACTCTATTTCTACTTGAAAGTTGCTAAGAAAGAAGATCTCAGATGTTATCACCACAAAAATGGTAATTATAAGAGGAGATGGAGATTTTAATTAACCTTTAGTGGTGATCTTTTTGCAATATATGCATGTATCAAATCATCACGCTGTGTACCTTAAACTTACATATGTCAATAATATCTCAGTAAAGCTGAAAGAAGGGGAAAAAGGTTATCTTTAGTTCAGTTGAGATTCAATTATTATAAGTTTCAACTTAATTGGGTCAATTTTATATTTTTTCCCTGTATAGTGAATTTTTCATGATAAGTTTGACAGTTGATTGGCAGAGTAAGAGTAATTCGTCATTGCTTTTTTAAAAAATGGTTAAATGTAGTGTAACCGATAATAAGGTATTTCAGCAATGTTACATTTGCTTTTTTTAAACATTTCTATACAGTTTTCTTAGTTTTTTCTCTGTTGATACCCACTTTCTTTTAGCAATGTTTTTAATGATTGTAGTTTTTATTTTGTCTAAGTGAATCTTTGGGCTTATGCATTGACAATTTTATGTTCTGAGATTATTTTATAACGTTACTATGTTTACAAAATCTATTTCTTCTGCTTTGTAAGTTATTTTGCTTTAAATTGTTGAAAATTTCATTTTAAGCCAGAGGTAACCACTTGAGCCATTTACCTATATTTTCAAAATTTGGGATTACATAAATATTTTGTTTTTAAATGGCTTTGAGAAAGCTGGCTTCAGAAAGAAATATAAAACTTTAAGGGATCAAAGAATGATGGATTTTTTTAGTGGCATATTTCTGAAAAGAACATTGAAATTTTTTCCGTATTTAAGAAATAAGAAACACTTGGCTAAAAAGCTCTAGGTTATTTATCACTAATTGAGCATCTCAAGAATGATAGGCATTATTATACATTTTACCCTTGTTACACTTTGAATATGCAGGTGTAGAGACTGTTGTTTCATTGGTTTTCAAGGAAAAATAGTGACACTCTTTGAAAATAAATTTAAAAGATAGAAATAGGTTACATAGCAAATGGACAAAATGCTTAAAAATACATTATAAAGTTGTAAAATAGATCTGGGAGCTTGTTGCATGTACCATTTTTAGCTACTATGCTTTTCTATAGTCAGAATTTCAAAGATTATAAATTATTGCTAAACCAAAGAGCATAGCATTAATTGGTTGAAAGTTTATTAGGAATTAAAGTAAAAAAAGTCTATAAAAGTAGAAGAATATCAAGACAAGCCCCCCACCCACCCAAAGACATTACTCCATAGTATCATCTACCAGCTGAAATTATGATATCAGCAAGACTAATTGGAAATATTAATATTATTATGTATTTGGCCTTTCACTCAACTTTTCCCCCAACAATTCATAGAATGCTCTTGATGCCATTTACATATTCAATTTGGTTTGCTGTTTGGCTAGATCATATATCTCTACCTCTTTTTGCCACATTTACGCTAGACTGACACACTCTCCTGGACTTCTGAGAATGGAAATGCAGGTACATCATTGGATTTCAGTTACTCATGTTTTACTCTTCATTTGTGGCTTAACTTCACTCATTTTTATCGGAGAGCCATTTAAATTGTCAGTGAGAAACTTGAAAATGTTGATTTGTATTTTTTAGCAGATATGTATTAAATTTGTTTTGAAATGTTACCATAGATAATTGGTTGTTTCTTTCTTCCCTAACCTGTCTGCATTGCTTCTGATGGACAGATCGAAATCCTGAAGGTAAGGAAGATCATTTAGAACGAAGTGAATTTCTGAGCTGAAATGTGTCGATGAATTGAATTGGTATCATACCATGAATTAGCTCTTTTTATGGACTGCTCTTTCATCTATGGAACCCTGTTTAAGGATGATTCAGTTCCTTGACCCAGCTATGGAGAGCTTGCTAGGTGCTTCCTCCCGGAGAGACTTGTCATTCAGTGTTAGTTGTTTCAGAGTCATGAGAAAGGACGAAGCTCCGTGATGCTAAAAAGAAACATCACGTGTCATTGACAAGTTATTTCTGCAAGTCGTTGGTGATTCACCTGTATGCTCTGTTACCTTATTTCACTAAAATAAAGGACCAGTAAAGACCAAGGGGTGTTTGCCACTGAATCCTGCGTTGCCTGTTGTCTGTGTGGCCCAGCAGACCCGCCTCTGCCTCTGGCCAGAGTGCCCCGTGCTCATTCCCCGAGCCTGGGCTGGGTCTTGTTTATAGTTTGTGGGGAATGTCATCAAAGGCCTGACCCCTTGAATCTGCCCAGTCAGTGTTAATTGTTAATCCACTTTGTATTCCCCCAAACCTTTGTGTATGACTCTGCTGTAATGCTTACCATAATATCAGTTTCATTATGTTTGTCCCTTAGGTTCCCCGAGTAGATTTTGAGCTCTCTGAGAGCAGGGTTCGAGCACTCACCTTTGAGTTATGCAATATTAGAGTAAACAACAGGCACTATAAAAGAATCTTCTACTTGGATTATTTTTCCTCCTAGACAAGACTTTATTTGGTTGTTTATTTTAGTATTAGCTATTTTAGATAACTGTTAGATAGCAATGTTAATTAATTAGTAATAAATATATAAAATACTTAAAAATAATGGCAATATTTACTCATACAGTTTTGGTGATGCCAACAACCTAAGTTGCATAGTATTTGGAAGGTGAAAATATGAGAAATATTTTAATAGAAGTATGTGATTAGTTTAATAACATAAAGTAAACTTGTCAAATTAGAATTTGGGTTATTAAAAAACCTATTCTTAATAATGAATATTTATATTTTATTTGGCAAAATTGTATGTAGCTGATGAGATTTGCATTTACTTTTGTAAAATACTATATTATTATTTAAATGATTTGTTTTGGGTTTAAAAAAGTCAGTTAAAGTTATTATTGAAACTAATTTATTCCTTCTTACTGTAAATTTATTCCCAATCGATAGGAGAAAAAAAAATCACAATATATGGAAGTTTTAGTATTTCAGCACAAAGCTTAAAGCTGGTTTTAATAATCTCATGATCTATTTTAAAATTATAATTAAGCTTTGGGGAGTAGAGTTGAAATACTTAGCCTTAGCTAGCAGGCAAGACAGTAAGTAATACGCTGCCACAGAGCTCTCACTTTGCACACAGGCTTCAGATTTCAAAGACTGGCCCATTTTATTGATACAGTTAGGCTGCAGTGCAGATAGCAGTCTTGCTCTTACATGTGGGAAGAGGGAAGCAAATGAGGTTTTATGCTCTTACACGTGGAAAGAGGGAAGCAAACGAAGTTTTATGCTGCCCTTGGAGTTTGTCTCCATTATTTCTGCATTAAAGTTACATGGCACATGCAGTGTAACACGGGCCTGCAGATGGAGCACAGTACATAGCCAGACATAACAGGAAGGGATCAAGGAAGCCCTGGCTTCCAGACACTGCTACTGCCGCGGGGTTCCTTGTTTTCAGTATGAAATGACTCTAGCAGGCCCCTGGAAAGAGTTCTGCAGGCGTTGTGTAGAAGTGTAATACATACACATAGTTATTCTACTCTGATATATATGTTCCTCCT